ATGCATGCATAGTGTTCAGTTCCATAAAGTCAAATGCCATATCATAAAGTCTGGTTGGATCCTGTCAACCATGGTGACACAGAATCAGTACCTGGGAGCATTAAAATTAATCTGCTTCACTTCTATTACTGCAGTGATAGCAAGATGAGAAGAGGTCTATATTTAAATTTTGCTTTAAAAAGAAAACTCTACCAAGTTTGCTTGGTTTTTTAAATTATTGCAACTTTTCTCCTAGTTAACGAATGTAGGGAAAATGGAGTGTTATTCTGTATAGTAAATTTATGATGGGATCTGGAAAAATACAAATCAATTCACTGATCACACTCCTTCTGAGCCCCTATCATATGCTCAAATGTGAAGACCAAATAGTGGCTGACCCCGAGCAGCTTAGAGCTTAGTGAGGGGAACCCACAAGAATCAGGCCATGATAGTGCAGTGCACAATGGGCGAATAGTACCCCGGGTTAGGGAAGCAGAGAGCAGAAAGGACCTATAGGCCAGCCTTGGGACTTCGAGGAGGGATTCCCCGGGGAGGCAATTTAAGAACTGAGGGTAAAGGATCGGCAAGTCATAGAGTGGGGGGATGGGCATCCTAGGCAAAAGGAGCGCGTGTGCAAAGGCCCGGCGGCAGGCCAGCTGGGACCTGCGTGCACAGGTGGGGACGCTGAGCGGGAACCTCTCTGCTCCTCGCGGCCGGGGCACAGAGGGCGAAGCAGGGCCGGGTTATGAAGGTCCTTGTCCACCACACTAACCGCCTGTGTACTGGACTCCCGAGTGATTTGCCATCATCAGATTGAGTACTCACTCAGGCCTCAGAGTGGCAAGCAGCTTGGGCAGGGAAAGCCCAAGGCCGAGCGCCTGGCCCCGGGGTGGCGTGGGAAGTGCAGCCGAGAGCGGGCCGTGCCCTGAGGGAAGGTCACCTGGAGGGGCGTGGCACGTCCCTGAAACGCGGGGTCCCATCACGTCCGCTGACCGACTGCACGAGCGATGGAGGGAATTGTTAGATGAGGGAGTCAAGGGGTGAAAGGCGGTGCATCACGCAGGCTTCTGGAGTGAAAGCTGGTTTTCTCTGATTTGATCTGAAGATCAAATTTTGCCAAATTCATGAGCAGGTGACAGAAGTCACAGTATGGTCGGTGCGGGGCCCCTGCTGTGATGACTGACCCGCCATGACCGAATGTTTCCCGGTCCTCCTGATGGTGCCGACGACGTGGCGAGGAAGCCTCGGGACACCGATTCCAGATCCAGCTCGCCGCTCCCCGGGGCCTGGCACCCGCGTGGACCGCCCACACGGGGGGAAATCCACCGGCGCCCAGCCTCACCCAGCCTCTCCTTCTGCTCTGACCTTCAAGGAGGTGAAAATCCACGAGGAAAGCCCTGCTGGGATCGCCGGCTGGTGGGGGTGGGAGGAGACCGAGGCAGGGTGGGGAGAAAGGATGGTGGAGACACGCTGGAGACGGGAAGAAATTCTAATGATCCAAGAGCCAAGTAGATAACAGAATGAGTGGAAAATCAGGTAGATTTCAAGGCTGAGGTGATGTGGCAGAAGACCTGGGAGAGATGGGGAGTGTGAGACGGATTCGATCCGCCTTTGCAGAAGGGAGGCCACCCGAGAAGGAATGTGGAGCCTCTGGGAGAGACTGGGCCCCCCGACAGCTGGTGAGGAGACCAGGGGCCTGGCCCACACCACGGGCCGTGAACTTGGACCTCAACCTGAATGCCCGTGGAATCAAAGTCATCCCCTATATGTCAAGAAATGCACTTGGCCCTGCTGACAAGCAAATGTGGCTTTGTGATACTGAAGGCAGAGGTCCCAGTGGAACCGCTGCACACCTGCCCATCTGACCTACACCCTGTGAGGTCATAAATCACAGCAGCAATCGAAAACTAATTCATATCAAAAGTCTTTTTTAAAGGGCAATAAATCTATATGCCTCTTGCTTAGATTCAACAATTCTATAAGTATTTTAAATAAATAAGCAAAAGTTCCCAAACAAGTAGCATATGCCTTGAGTCCCTGGAGTCTGCTTCCCACCAAGGGGTAGACTTCCTGTGACTCCACCACATGAGGGGCTTGAGCCCTAATCTCTGGAAGCTAGGTTTTTTCTCTTATACATTTTTTTCATCTTATTTTTAACTTCAGTCTCTTGGGAATAGTGGTAACAGGAGATTTGATTCACAATTAACAAGAAGGTATTGCAGGTGCAGAAAGTGGTGAAGAGAAATCCCTATTTAATTCCACAAGTGTCTGCGGCAGCTACAAGCCTTCGTGAAGCCCTGCTCTTTCTCAAGCAAGGGGAATGACTGGAGCAGGAGGAGAAGCATGAAAAGGGCCTGTGGCTCGAGGTTCCAGCAGGAAAACAGAAGCCACCCTTCCAATATAGAGAGGGTTAAACAGTGCTGGGAAACTGAGATGGGGGAGAGGAGACGGTGGGGAAGCAAAGGAGTACTGCCTGCAGGAAGCAGCCAATGCTGGGGGCGCCAAGGAAGGAAGTTGGGCTCTAGAAGCTCGGAGGAGGAGATGGGAACTCAGACCTCCGAGATGGGGTGGCGCAGGGAGTACTGGCTGGAGCCCACTACTGCTGGCACCTCCTCTGCCTCCATCCTGCCTCTAGTCGCCCTGTTGGCAGGACCGTCCAGGGAGCCCGCTGGTGAGGAAGAGTGATGCTTGCACAGTCCCAGCCCCGTAGTCGGCAGTGTACAGAAGGGTGTGTGTGGAGATGAGCTGTAAGGGCTGAAGAACCAGCAAAGGGCCAGAAGAGAACCTCATGCAAACTGGTGTTAGGGCCCAAAGAAGGTGGAAGGTCACCTGTACACTAGAAACTTCTTAAGTCGCTTCTTTCAGTCTGTGCTTCCCTTGCCGTTAGTGGGGTAGTCCTCACAGTTAGTCAGCTCCTTCCTGGTAGGGAAGCGCAGGACACCCTGGTGCAGGTAGAGGGGAGTCTGAAGAGGTCCGCTGCCCCAGCGGTGCCTCCCTTCTGGGAAGGGCCAAGGGGAATGACCTCCAAGAGGACTTCTGAACTGGAAAGCTTTTTGCCCACTAGGCACTCTTCTGCTGAAGGGAGCTGCAATCCCCATGGCACCTCGAACTGAAGACCTTACAGGCCTTGAACCTTATCTGACACACAAAGCTGGAAATCCCAGTTGCCTGGGTTGTAGTTCTGACTTCACCACTTGGGGAGGTTTCCTTTCTTGTTTCAGTTTCCGCATCAGTAAAATGGGGCAAACAGTAGTTTTCCTCAACCTCCCAGGGTTACCGGAACGCTTAGTTCAGTTAATAATAGGAGAGCTCTTGACAGCTCATGACGTCTAGTAGGCACTCGCTGCGCACTAGCCATGATTATCGCTATGATTGCTACCTTTGTGGATCTACCTTGTCACACTAGAGTAAATTTCTGGGGTTACTCACGTTACCTTGTATATCTTGCAGTGGGTGTTCTGTTTCCTTCTGTGGTACAGCCCTGTAACTCTCCCTGGAGCCCACTTCAGCTTGCTGAAGAATGTCCCAGAGCCCTGGTCTTCGCCAAGAAAGGACAGCTTAGGTGATCTGCCCAACAGCCACAGTGCTCAAGTTTTGGGTCAGAAATTCCTGCTCTGATCATTTTTAGGCACAAACATCCCCATATTTCTATCATTTGCTCCCATATAGCCCCACTTTAACTCCTTCCCACCCCTCAACTCCTTAGCATCATCCCTTTGGGCCAAATAATTTTGCCTGGAAACAGGAGGGCTTTAGTCAGATCTTCTTAATTTTCTCATCATCGTAACTTTCCAGGACTATAAGATCAGATGCTGTTTTTCATGCTATAACTGGACTAAGCATATTATTTTTAAGAAGGAATCTCTCTTGTTTTTTGTATTAGTGAGAGGACAGAATTACAAAAATCTGAATGGGTGCTTTTGAGGCTTTGAGAGAGACATTGTTTGGGAAGAGTTAAGTGTTTTCAGTTTATGGCAATGATATGCGAGGCCATGAAAAAGAATGCAGCCGTGAAATACATTTTTGCATAAAGGTTTGAAATTTATTAGAAAGTAAAAATAATTGAAAAAGCAGAGCTTTCCTCACTGGGTTACAATAAAAATTATTTATATGCCATCATTCTGCATGTTTAGGAGCTCGGGTCCTTTTCAGAGGCTCTTCGCTAAGAAACAAGAGGAAAGCTAAGGTATTCAAGCTGTTCAGTTGAACAAGCTGATGTACATATACCCTGCATTTCTGATGACTGGGCCATATTAAAACAATTAGTAATAATGGTCAAATTACCAGTGTCTGAATTGTATCATAGAAGCTCAATAGGTACGCACCACAGGTAGCTGCTTACAAAATCCTCAGACCTTGCCCTCAGTAGAATGGAGGTGGACTCCTGAAATAGTGTTCATTTACCTGAGTTCCATTCAGGTATCCAGTACTCATCTTCAGATTCACCTGCCATACACAGTATTGAATAAAAGCACTTTGAGATCCTTGGCCAAAAGAGATTGTGCAAAACGTTTACTAATGTTCATCGGAAAAAGTGCCTTCCTGCTCACAGCAGTATTTCACTTTGCGTTGTCTTAACCATATCCTTTTGACTCTCAGAAGTGAACTTGGGGCTTTGAAGTGGTGCCAGACAGGCCTCCCTAAAGACCAGCAGAGCATTCCACTACTCAGCAAGGCAAGGTCCATTCTGAACCTCTACCTCACCACTATTCATCAGCCTTCACTCTGTCTTCTCTCCTCTCCTTGCAGACAGGCTGCTGATTTGCAGTGGGAGCTACTGGTGTCCTCGAATACTGACCACCTTGGCAGCTTCAGTCTGTTCTAGGCAGGGCTTACAGCTGTATGTGATGAAGGGAAGATGGGAAGATTTGGTGACTCATTCAAGACCTTCCCTTTCAGTTCTGTGAATATACACAGGGGGAGAAATAGTAATGACCTGTTGCAGGGTTAATGGAGTGTGTCTTTAAATTTGATGATAGATGGAATTTGCCTCTAGGTTTTCTGTTGTCTCTGTTCCTCAGGAATTCCAATGCTGAAGATAGTGTTTGCAGGCCACGAGCGCCTCTCTTTAATATCTGTGCCCTTGCTCATCTACCATCCAGTTCAGATACTTCTGGGAAGTGTCCTGGTGCCAACAATTAAGTCTTGGATGGTGTCAAGGCAGAAGGTAAGACTCCAGGAAGATCTTATTTGAATCCAAACCAGATTGAAGTGCTATTTCTGAATTTTAGCTGTTCATACACTTTAACTTTTGTTCAAAAAGTTAACTTATGTCAACTTGCGCATATTGAAGGGCATATAGTAGTGGAGTAAAGGTAAATATACTCAAAATATACATACCCTTCCAGTCAGGTGTATAGGGTCCTTGCTCCCGCCAATCTTTCATATGGGTCCTGATTTCGCATGCCTCTCTGATAGGATAGTGCCTGACTTTATCTAAAATGCTTACTTTATCTTAATTTCCAGACACATGATAACTTCTTTATACAGTAAAACTATGTGTCTGGGCATTAAAAAATAAAATTCAGTTAGCCAAGGAGCCATACGATGGTCAGTTTTTACCACATTATCTCAGAGTCTTGTAACTTACTGGTCATTCGTGGCTTTGATTTCCAAAATTATCAGCCTGCTGCATATAAAATCACATGCTGCATATACCCATGAAGCACCTTACAGAGCTGGCCCCTTCACAGTGGCTGAAACTTCATAGGACACAAGGCAGTGACTATTACCAGGAAATGAGTAGGAAGAAGAGACAGCTGATGACAGAGAAGTGCCCTGGGTCGTGTCTTGGTGTCCTGGAAATGGAATAGCTACCCTACTACCTCCGGAGCTCTGTACATGCTCAGCGCATCCCAGCCTTCAGCTGGCCTGCCGGCAGTTCTCACTGGGTGACCTTGGGCACACTACCTCACGTGTGTCTCTGCCACTCTAAGACAAATGACAGTATCAACTCTAGAGTTGTAGAAGATTATGCGTCAAGTGTTTGATAAAAGCTAGTTGCTATAGTTAAAAGTCGTCATTGTTGCTCATTATCATCCACAACACTGTGGCGAGCTCTGCTGTCTCCTCCGTACAGGTTAAGAAAGAGGCTCAGATTCTTGAGCAACTTGTCTAAGATTGTGTGGGTGGTTTAGGTCAGTGCTAGAATTACAGCTGGAACCCTAGGCTATTTGGCCCTCAAAATCTTTCCACGACACCACAGTGACACTCTAGACAGAAATGTAACACTGCTTTTAGAAGGAATGCCCTAGGTCCCCAGAACCCTCCCTGAGAAAGTAGCCCCCCCCCCGGCCCCTTTTCACGTTAATGTTACCCAGCAGAACGAGGGTGATGACCATTGCTTCTGTGCTGGGTGCCACCCAGGCTCCCGTCCTCCCACTCAGAGTTGGTAGACCAGCAGTGTAGCAACTTTCTCTTCCTTTTGAAAACCTCCATTTATATTTATCAGTATGCATGTGCATTACTTTAACTCCTTCCCACCCCTCAACTCCTTAGCATCATCCCTTTGGGCCAAATAATTTTGCCTGGAAACAGGAGGGCTTTAGTCAGATCTTCTTAATTTTCTCATCATCGTAACTTTCCAGGACTATAAGATCAGATGCTGCTTTTCATGCTATAACTGGACTAAGCATATTATTTTTAAGAAGGAATCTCTCTTGTTTTTTGTATTAGTGAGAGGACAGAATTACAAAAATCTGAATGGGTGCTTTTGAGGCTTTGAGAGAGACATTGTTTGGGAAGAGTTAAGTGTTTTCAGTTTATGGCAATGATATGCGAGGCCATGAAAAAGAATGCAGCCGTGAAATACATTTTTGCATAAAGGTTTGAAATTTATTAGAAAGTAAAAATAATTGAAAAAGCAGAGCTTTCCTCACTGGGTTACAATAAAAATTATTTATATGCCATCATTCTGCATGTTTAGGAGCTCGGGTCCTTTTCAGAGGCTCTTCGCTAAGAAACAAGAGGAAAGCTAAGGTATTCAAGCTGTTCAGTTGAACAAGCTGATGTACATATACCCTGCATTTCTGATGACTGGGCCATATTAAAACAATTAGTAATAATGGTCAAATTACCAGTGTCTGAATTGTATCATAGAAGCTCAATAGGTACGCACCACAGGTAGCTGCTTACAAAATCCTCAGACCTTGCCCTCAGTAGAATGGAGGTGGACTCCTGAAATAGTGTTCATTTACCTGAGTTCCATTCAGGTATCCAGTACTCATCTTCAGATTCACCTGCCATACACAGTATTGAATAAAAGCACTTTGAGATCCTTGGCCAAAAGAGATTGTGCAAAACGTTTACTAATGTTCATCGGAAAAAGTGCCTTCCTGCTCACAGCAGTATTTCACTTTGCGTTGTCTTAACCATATCCTTTTGACTCTCAGAAGTGAACTTGGGGCTTTGAAGTGGTGCCAGACAGGCCTCCCTAAAGACCAGCAGAGCATTCCACTACTCAGCAAGGCAAGGTCCATTCTGAACCTCTACCTCACCACTATTCATCAGCCTTCACTCTGTCTTCTCTCCTCTCCTTGCAGACAGGCTGCTGATTTGCAGTGGGAGCTACTGGTGTCCTCGAATACTGACCACCTTGGCAGCTTCAGTCTGTTCTAGGCAGGGCTTACAGCTGTATGTGATGAAGGGAAGATGGGAAGATTTGGTGACTCATTCAAGACCTTCCCTTTCAGTTCTGTGAATATACACAGGGGGAGAAATAGTAATGACCTGTTGCAGGGTTAATGGAGTGTGTCTTTAAATTTGATGATAGATGGAATTTGCCTCTAGGTTTTCTGTTGTCTCTGTTCCTCAGGAATTCCAATGCTGAAGATAGTGTTTGCAGGCCACGAGCGCCTCTCTTTAATATCTGTGCCCTTGCTCATCTACCATCCAGTTCAGATACTTCTGGGAAGTGTCCTGGTGCCAACAATTAAGTCTTGGATGGTGTCAAGGCAGAAGGTAAGACTCCAGGAAGATCTTATTTGAATCCAAACCAGATTGAAGTGCTATTTCTGAATTTTAGCTGTTCATACACTTTAACTTTTGTTCAAAAAGTTAACTTATGTCAACTTGCGCATATTGAAGGGCATATAGTAGTGGAGTAAAGGTAAATATACTCAAAATATACATACCCTTCCAGTCAGGTGTATAGGGTCCTTGCTCCCGCCAATCTTTCATATGGGTCCTGATTTCGCATGCCTCTCTGATAGGATAGTGCCTGACTTTATCTAAAATGCTTACTTTATCTTAATTTCCAGACACATGATAACTTCTTTATACAGTAAAACTATGTGTCTGGGCATTAAAAAATAAAATTCAGTTAGCCAAGGAGCCATACGATGGTCAGTTTTTACCACATTATCTCAGAGTCTTGTAACTTACTGGTCATTCGTGGCTTTGATTTCCAAAATTATCAGCCTGCTGCATATAAAATCACATGCTGCATATACCCATGAAGCACCTTACAGAGCTGGCCCCTTCACAGTGGCTGAAACTTCATAGGACACAAGGCAGTGACTATTACCAGGAAATGAGTAGGAAGAAGAGACAGCCGATGACAGAGAAGTGCCCTGGGTCGTGTCTTGGTGTCCTGGAAATGGAATAGCTACCCTACTACCTCCGGAGCTCTGTACATGCTCAGCGCATCCCAGCCTTCAGCTGGCCTGCCGGCAGTTCTCACTGGGTGACCTTGGGCACACTACCTCACGTGTGTCTCTGCCACTCTAAGACAAATGACAGTATCAACTCTAGAGTTGTAGAAGATTATGCGTCAAGTGTTTGATAAAAGCTAGTTGCTATAGTTAAAAGTCGTCATTGTTGCTCATTATCATCCACAACACTGTGGCGAGCTCTGCTGTCTCCTCCGTACAGGTTAAGAAAGAGGCTCAGATTCTTGAGCAACTTGTCTAAGATTGTGTGGGTGGTTTAGGTCAGTGCTAGAATTACAGCTGGAACCCTAGGCTATTTGGCCCTCAAAATCTTTCCACGACACCACAGTGACACTCTAGACAGAAATGTAACACTGCTTTTAGAAGGAATGCCCTAGGTCCCCAGAACCCTCCCTGAGAAAGTAGCCCCCCTCCGGCCCCTTTTCACGTTAATGTTACCCAGCAGAACGAGGGTGATGACCATTGCTTCTGTGCTGGGTGCCACCCAGGCTCCCGTCCTCCCACTCAGAGTTGGTAGACCAGCAGTGTAGCAACTTTCTCTTCCTTTTGAAAACCTCCATTTATATTTATCAGTATGCATGTGCATTGTTGGTCAGAATTTATACGTGTAAATTTTGACAAAGAACAGAGAAAATCATTTGAAAATCCTAGTATTCTATCACAGATACCCAGTCATAGTGGGCAGCAAATTAATCAGTGAAATTTTCTTCTAAATGCTTAAAACCACTGAGATTTATTCTAGGGAGTAACAGATGCATGTCCAAAAGGGACACTAGTTGGACGACACTGTTCATTTTCCCTTTGCCTAGAAACCACTGCACATGAGGGAGCCACTGACTAACGTAGAGTAACCCAGGAGACTTGGAATACCTATCCATGCCATTTGTCAGTCATAAAGGCATCCATGCTTGTCTCCTCTGCTTTACAGACACTCCTGATTTAGAACCCAGGCACCATCCAGTACACAGCGGGACTCAGTGAGCAGCCCAGCTGGGCTTGGGGAGGTGACGAGGCTGCCGGTCAGTGAGGTGGGCAGGAGAATCTGTGTGTATCCAGAGGTTTGGTTCATGGATTGTGTAATGCTGTCTGGTTGGGCCTCTTCTTCCTTCTAGCAGCATAAATTATCTGGTGTTAATTGATGCTTTCAACTTGTCCTTTTTCATGGACAGCCTCCAGCTCTGAACCTCCTGTTCTTCCTTTCTCGTAGGGGGTGAAGTTGACGAGGCCAACAGTATAAGGACGGAGGCGCTCTTGAACATGCAGCGGTGTATATATGTACAGGATTGTACATACAGGCAGTTCTGAAGACTTGTACTTGTGAATGTTGCTTTGATGCATATTTTATTTTTTTACACAAAAGTATGATATAACTGTTTAAGTGCCTTAAAATGTATTTGACAGGAGAGTTATTTCCAAAACCTATTTTGTTCATTCCTGCCAGGAGTGGTACAGTATTTTGGAGTTGTTTTATTTTTTTCTAACACAGGAAATTGTCATCATAACTGACAAAAAGCAAACATACTTTCCTCATACCACCTTTCATGCAGTACAACTCTACACTAGTTACTGTACTGTTTGGAATGAGGTCACAGCACCAGGAAAATGCCCTCCTGATGATAGTGGAAATTTCCAAAGTCTTATTCACAAATACTTTGACTTCACTGTGTGATTCTTTTTTCTTCAACTGTGACATGCCTCTCCTTATCAACTCAGCAGGGGTCATAGATTAAGTAGATGCTGAAATGCAAAAGTTACCTGTATCTCTTGACATCATTTTTTAAGACATTCCTTTGAATAGTTTCCACACAGAAATTCCTTCATTCCATTATAAGAGATTGTGGTGGTGTATGTCTTAAATGTATTATAAGCTGCTTCAAAGAAAAGAGCCTAATGTTTGAGTTATAAATAAGTGAGCTTTTGAAGTAAACTACAGGATTTGGTTTTCAGACTTTTAAAATTATATTTTACATGTTTTTCCCTTTTCTTCCATAATTTCTTTCTTACCTGTTTCCCAACACACTTGCAAAATTATAACAGCTAAATGCAAGACATAAAAATGTTACAGTCAATTCAAGAGCAGCAACAATTAGTGATGGTCTGTATTCACATTCCACAACTGAGACCAAAATTGTTTTCCTGTTACACAGATGTGCTGAGCACAAATTGCCAGAAGCAGCCTGTTACATCCGTGAATTAAGCACACTTAAGATATTCAAGACAAGTTATTAATAAGAATCTCCTTGGCAGATTTGACAAATGTTTGCAACCATTTTTTAAAAATTAAATCATATTCTGGAAAATATATGAAAAGATTAAAGTCAGGGATGCAAACGCATGTTACATATATGCCATCTCCCTAGGCAGATGGAAAGAATAATGGGCACAGAAAATGCAAAAACAATTCACTAGCCAAAATATCAAGTAAAATGAGTTCCCAATGGGCATCAGCTTTTAAAGGAGTATCCAATATTTGCTTGTACTACGGCTCAAGAACTTACACTGGACCCAGACGGAGAATAAAGCAATATGTAGAATTAGGGAACACTCGCCCTGTTTTCTGCATAGCATTCTGTCACATCCTCACTGCATGTCCTTTCTTGATCTGCCAGATGACATCGGCATCCTGGGACATAAAGGCCGTTCTCCATCCTTGGCAGCTGTTTTGTTATTCTTTCAACAACAAAAAATTATTCCTTAGAAACATAGCAAGCTTATCAACAGTGTAAATTTATATTACTGTTACTACTGGGTCTCTCATCTTATGTTACTTATGACTCATTTCAATATTTGTGAACCTCATAAATTTCACAGGACTTATGAGTATAAATTTTAAGGCTGGGGCCAGATCCTGCAAAAATCTATGCTGAACAGGCTATTTGTCAAGACGTTCACTCTCATCAAAACCTCTAGTCATCTTGCTTGGTATTTCTGATGCTTACATACGGAGCACAGAAAGGTTTTCTTGTTTTGTTCCTATAAGCTTTGAATTTCAGAGTAAATGAAATTGTCCGAGCTGTCATAAAAATCTTTCTCCCTAGTATTAGAATACTGATTTTTTTTCTCCAACTTATCTACCTCTAATGCCTAACACCTATAGTAGGTGTGATTTTGGGATAAAAATCAACTGAGAAGGCTATAACATTTTATCCTGTGCTTTAAGAATGTGTCTGTTTTCAAATAATCTTCTCTACATAGTGAATTTTGGTGGCTCTAGGGATAAGCGTATGCCCATTTTTTTCTTACACAAATGCTGTGGCATATTTTTCCATATAAAACAAAAAAAATAAAATCAAAACTTATTTTTAATTCATGTTTATTGGGATTTACTTATTCACATCTTAAAATACTTTATGATGTTTATGCACTGTCAAGCTGTCTATTCTATGCATTTGTTTTGTCTAAATATGTTTATGAGAGAAATACATTAGATTGTATTTGTTTGCTCATTTTCCACCTAGATTTTTTTTAATGGTTGTTAGGAAATTTGACTTTGTAATGGGTGATAATGTTAATCTTTTCATGTGTTCTTTTCTAAATTAAAAAATGTTTGTATTCTTTTTCATTCTCCCCTATACTGTTTAAAACTAACACTCCTCTGGCTAATGTTCAGTGTTTGTTTATGCTAAATACCAAATTTTTTCAAAAGGACTGGTGAAGTAATAAAATGGTTTATTTATGAAAATAATTCTATGATTAAACAAAGAGATGTTTCAGAAATCACAAGAGAACCTTGTGCTTATTTTTAACCTGATTTCAGATGCACTCATAATGCCTTCCAAGTATCTATAGATATCTCTAGATTTGCTCCCGTGTATTATATCATTTGTGGTTAAATAGACAGAAGTTTCATAGTCTTCCCAGGTATCCTTATCAACAGCTCCACCCCACCCACAATGTTAAAATCCGGAAATATCCCTTGCTTTTTGTTACAGAAATGTTCTTTTACATCATGGTCGAGCACCAAAAAAGAAACTTACTCAACAGAAGAGGCGAACTTTAAGAGATGTGGGTTTTAGCCTCCCTTGTCACATTTTTGAGGGATAGAAAAAATGAAATCTTGGAGTGCCTTTTCCAAATCCAGTGTTTCTTTATGAGCAAGTTACCTGGCAGAGAATTCCCCATCTTCGTGTCCTTGTTTCTCTTTGCTTAGGGATCCTCCTCTCTGTGGTCAGTCATCCGAAATGTCCCCTTCTCCGCGAGGCCTGCCTGCTTCCCCAGCCAGCACTGGCCCTGTGACGGGCCAGCAGAACTTGCCCCTGAGTCTTCTGAAACCATTGCATCATCTAATCATGCTGACTCCTGCTATGTGGTCCTCATTTCTGTTTTTTGACTGTACCCAGCACAGTGCCTGGCTCAGAGTTGTAGCCAGAAACATGTGTAGTGACTTTCAAAATTATGGCCCTAATAGATAGACCATGGACCTTATGAGAGAGCTCTTCCCTACTTACAGATGATTACTAATTTTCAAGGAAAAGTGACTTTCTTCCTACGATTCATATCCTAAATAAAACTGCAGCTGCATTGTGCTACTCAGAGAAATCCATTCCTTCTTAGCTGAGGAAGTACCAACTCTCCAGGGTGAGACTGAGGATGTGATGTGCAAACCCCTCATTGTTTGTGCTTTGGAAGAACAGTAAACCCTCAAAAATTCAGGCTGTATCAGGCTGCGGTGATCTGAATTAGTGAATACTTTATATGCATAGAAAATAAAGGATTTTCCTTGTAGAAATTCTAACATAAAAACTAGATACAAATTATTATGATTATCATCACATCGCCATTGGTTTGTATATAGACATATTCAAAAGGTCTGGGAGTTTATTCTCTGCAGCAAACCAACTAATCTTATTTATACTGTAGGACCATTTCTCAAATATGAGTATAACCTCATTTCAAGAGAAAAAAAGTTCTTATAGACCCTGGGGAACTTACCTAGTTAGCCAGTTATGAGAAACTCTTACATATCAAATGCTGCCCCTCTAACAGTTGGTTGGTGCCAATGTGCTTCTAAACGTGAGAGTGGACAGGAGCCCGCAGGGCCGGGCTGAGTCAGAGGCTGGTCAGGCAGACGGTCCCAGTGGGCCCTCAGATCTCCCCCCCCTAAGCTCCCCCGCAACTCCCCAGCCCTGCAGGCTCCCAGCTGTTCTCTGCCCTGCGCATCACCGCCCAGACAGGGAACTCTGTTGCAGTTCCATGATTTCTACCAAAGGCCAAACACACTGAATGTTTGGGATGTACAAACATAACATTGAGTATTAGACCTCCTGTACCCACCCATCTTCCAGCCATGCTTCCACCTGGAGTTTCTCACTGACCACCCTTCCCCGTGGGCTCCATCCACCTGCCCCGTTACCAGCTTTTCCTCTCTGCCCCCTTCTGTCACTGACCGCCACATTCACAGATCCTTAGCCATCTATTTGTTCATTCTCAGACTTCCCAGACATGCCATAGGAACTACTTGCAACAGGCAGAGGACACCTTTAAAAAGCCAGCTTCCTTCAGATTGCTGTGTAACCAGACAGAAGCTGTATGGTTTCCATTTTCCTCTCCCTAGGCTAGCTCACATTCCTAAACTGGGCATTGGAATGAGCAAGTTGAGGGTCCATGTATGTCCTGGACGAACTGTGCCCCAAATGTCAGGAAATAGAAAGAGTATGTGACTTCCATATAAACTAATAAAACAGGCAAAGCACATGAATAGGTAATTTGTACAAGTCAAAATAGGAATGGATAATAGACATAATTTAAAATACTCGATCTTAATCAAGATCAGGGAAGTACTCCTTTAAATGAGATACTTTTATTCACCTATGAGATTGACAAAAAATGTAAAGTTTGATAATATCCAATAGTACAAGGATTTGAGGAGAGGACATCCATGCCTTTCTAGTGGAAGCATGAATGGGAGAGGAATTTCTGGAAAGGAGTACCATCAAAATTTAAATATATGTGTTCTTCAACCCAGCTCTTTCACTTCTAGGAATCTATTCTGCAGAAATAGACAAATGCCCAAGGATCGATTGACAAGGATGTTTTCAGAGCATTGATAAGGCTGTATAAGTTGCTTGTTCCCTTGTCACTGGCGATTTCAAACTTGAAATTCTTGCAACATGTGGATTCGTGCCTGCTGCTGGGAGTTCTAGACTCTGAGTCTAGGTGTTCACACAGAGCACTGTTGTCAGTGTGCCTGACTTTGCCAACATGGCCAGAATCCATCCTGTGCTGTTTCTAGCCAATTAATGTTTACCACACGTCCCACCCAAGGACCCACTGCTGCTAGCATTTCGTGTGCCCTGTGTTCTGACAAGGTCCCCTCACCCTCACCAGCTCCTCCTTATCCATACCTAAGAAGTCCTGTGCATGTTGAAGACAGAGCGAACTACCATGTGTATAGCTCACTTCTCTGCTCACGAAGCCAAAGCGAGAATCGTGAAATATCACAGAATTGTTACCAGGATCGAAAGAGTGCAAACAACTTGTCACAGTGCTGGCCCTTGGTAAGAATAAGTGTCAGTTATTCATGCTCAACAGTGGATAGGACCTGGGCGAACCTCACTGGACACGTGAAGTCAGGCATCAGGTTCTATTCTGCATCTAATCTATGTTAACGATCTCTTACAAAGTTCATTAAATGTCACTAATCAAGTCACGAAGTGACCAGGGCACGAGTCTCTACTCCTTCAGTTAATGAAGACACTGACTGTGAATTTTAAGATTGTTGCCCCGACCCTGGATTCCATAGGATGGAAAGGCCCTCCCAAGCCCACCATTGCTGCCTGGATCTTGCCTTTTCCTGCTACTGCAAAGAACTCCAAACCAAAATTTTGTCCAACTCCCCAAAATCTGACTGGCTGCGAACCATCTGATGATGCAGCTGACAGCCAGAGCTGCACCCACATTGATTCTGAGGTCCCAGGGCCTGTGTGAGAGGACTCCTGCCTCTGGGGCTCTCCTAGAGCAGCCGCCACAGTCATGTCCCTCATGGAGGGCTGCCCAGGGCTCTGTGTCCAGGCTGAACTGACCCCTTTCTGCTTCGTTGGGTGCCACCGTGGTCCTGGAATGACTGGCCCTCTCAGAGGCCCCACTCATGCACCCCCTTAATGTTAACATTTCCAGAAATTCTGGTCCCCAACCTTTCTTTCCACCCCACACACTCTCCCAGCCACCCCCACAGTGTCTGCCGCCTTCCGCAAACCAGCAAGGGCTCCCACAAACCAGCAAGCACCCCCACATCTGCAGTCCTGGGCCCGCATTTCCCAGGGAACTCGGACGTTCCCACCTGCGCACCTCCCAACCACATGCCCTGAAGGAAAAGCCAGCCACCTCTTGCTTTCCCTACATTCAGTCCTCCCCTCAGCAGCTTCCTTGGTTGGCACAGCAACCAGCCAGCCCGGTGTCCCCTGTCACCCTTCACACCTCGCTTTTCATACCCAGTCATCAGATTCTCTCGATTCTATGTGCAAAACCTGTCCTCATTCTCTTCCTTCTCATTCCACTGCCACTACCTTAAAATGCCATTTTTAGGATTTTTTTTCCCACCAGGATCAACTTTGGCCAATCCAGGAAACCCTTTGCTGACATTTAACAATCACTTGCCATGCGCTGAGTGCCCTGCTAAATGCTTTATGTGAAGGATCCCGTTTAACCCTTATGACAATGTTTCACACTCATGTCATTTTTCCCATTTTACAGATTAGAAAGTGGAGGCTCCAAGAGACGACATTCCAGGTGCCATAGCTTGTGAATGACAGAGCCTGGATTGGATGGCCGACATGGCCAGCACCTCAGCTCTGCTGGCACCTGGGTCTCAGGGCCCCGGCGCACCCCCCACCTCCGTGAGACAGTCCTTGGCTCCAACTGTCTACTGCACGTCCTCGCTTGCCATTATATCACTCTCAGGTTGTGTCAGATCCTCTTTGTCCACATGTCTCTCCCCACTAAATGATTGGTTTCTTCAGTAGGAACCTTGTTTTGTTTATCTCTGTAACCCTGACAACTAGCCAAAGGTTTGCCTGATGGCAGGAACGTCAATAAGTGTTTACATCAATAAGTGTTTATTAAATGATGAGTAAAACCTTAAGTCCCTTCAGGTTGCTTTTCTGATTCTGGGGGAAAGAGGTCTTCAGATTATGAAACACTATTTTTGGAGAGTGGCATGTGACTCATGATTATCATTCAGGGAATGGGAATCATCACATTAATCTATCTACAAATGCTCCTGAAAGGACTTTTCTATTAATGAAAACAATCCGTAAATATAATGATGCCCGTCCAG